TTACTGATAAACCTTCATTGTATACGAGTGCCCGAAGGAGTGTGTAGCTTAACTACTTTTTAACAATGCCTGATCTGGAGTGTCTGAAATTAATTTTCATACTTGTCCTCACTTTTATTAACAAGCAAATTTTTTGGTTGATCTAATCATACTATCTTCCTTGCCTTCCTCCATTATCATAAGTCTATTTCATTTAATCATTGAACCATTAGCTACCCACTTCTGTTATTTCTTTGAAGAGGTGACTGGAATGTATTCATAAATTGGCCTTACCTTGAGCCGAAGGATTGCTTTGGAGTTGTGACTAGATTTGGGCTATCCCGCAACCCCACAAATATGTCGTTTTAATTCCGGCTTCCTTCTACTCCCCTCTTCAGACGAAATTGAACGCTTGTCAACATAATCATATTAGGGGATTCTTCGAAACCTAGCATATTTATATATATATATATACTCACTTTTATTCGATTTTGTTCATTATCTTATTGCTATTGCTATGACACCACATTTAGCTTATTTTTCGTTCATAATTAGAGTTTCGAGGTTACCAGTAAATCAGTTATCTAAGATGTATTTACCCTATTTCTTTTAACTACCAGTCCATCATTTCAACCGAAATTGAGTGAATGCATTTCATATAAGTTTGACTGTCTTTAAAATAGATAAATAAAGAATGACTTGTTTTAGTCGAGTAACGGAATGCTCGTATATATATATATATATATATATATATATAAACTTGTATTTCACCCAGATCTTGCCGCGCATGCTAATTTCATTATCTAAAGATCTTTAAACATTTCATTTTTTAGATTTGGCCCCACTTTTTGCTGATACCCTCTCTGCGAGTGAACCTAAGAAGGCGCTGCCTTCCTTCCCTAATCTCTTTGCTCCAGCTCGCTCAGAGGCTCCTCTCTTCAATGCCTCTACTTTCAATGGTCTGGCTCCTTCGGGAACCTCTGCAACTAGTGTTGCTTCCTGTACCAGTATTACTTTTGCCAATGCTGCTCCATCCACTGCAACTACAGCCACTAATGGACTTGGCGCTCTTGTATCCAGCCCTATCTTTGGTTGCGGAAGCCTGACCGCGTCCTACAATCCTAGCCTCTCGCTTACTACTACCACGACTACAGTTGCCTCCAATGCCACTTCTGGTAGCCTGCAATCTACGTCGGGCCCTGGGAACTTGTTTTCTTTTGGTCAGCAGCAACAAACTAATCTCTTCGGGTCACCGCAATCTGGAGCGTTTACGACCGCTTTTTCTTCGCACGGCAGTCAGGGTCTCTCAGGACTCTTTCAATCTGCCGGCATTACTCCTGATGCCACTGCCGCCGTTTCAGTTGGTAGCCCATTCAGCACAACTAATCTCGGTATGATTAATTCGCCTCTTGCTTCTACTACTTCTACTAATGCTGTGACAACTGGTAGTAACGCCATACAATTGCCATCGGGTCTATCCGTCTTCGGCTCTGCTCCAAGTATTGCCACATCTCTGTCTACTGTAGTGTCCACTGCGCCCTCCCTGTTCTCTTCTCCAAAGGTTGGCTCCAACACACCCGTTTCCACAGTTTCTGCAATGTCATCTCCTCTTTCGGCCCTTACTGTCGCTCAGGCTCCGGCCCTAAACATTGGCCTATTCCGTTTCGGTCTGCAGCCAGCTACTTCGACGACTACTACAACTCCTAGTCCCCTATTCACCTCGCCAGGGCCAAATGGAGCTGCGGGTGCAACATTGACTGGCATTGCACCTAGCTTGATTTCTCCCGGTTCTTCCTCCGGTCTTTTCAAATTTGGAGCCCAGTCTCAGACATTGAACTCAAGTCCTGGCAATGTGCCGTTTATGTTTGGACAGGCAGCACCCGGCTTCTCATTACAGCCTAATATTGCTTCAGTTGGCCCGAATGCCACTCTAACCTCAACCCCACCTGCTAGTAACCCCTTCCTTTTGGGTTGCACAACCACCCGCCCCGGAGATTCTTCCCTGCCCGGGTCGGCAGGCATCGCTTCTACGGCCCAAGCAAGACGTCGCACAGCCGCTGGAGCCCGTCGCACTAAACGATCTTAGTTGGAGCTTTTCTTGGATTACTTGCTCTCAATTCTCCTTCCGGCTCTCCCTTTTTTATGTCTTATTTTCTCACTTTCTCTCATTTGTTATGCTACGCCCTGCTTGAATCCCGATCATAGCTCCACTTTCTCATGTCTAATGCATTATCTGAGTGAGTATTAATACACTTGTCTGCAAATCAACACAGATCTTACCCTTAAACGTCGGACGGAGGTTGCAGAAATTTTTCATTCTTCAGTGAATCTGATTTAGAAACATTATCGCTTTGGCTGTCCTATAGCATTATCACGTACTAGTACCAATCTCAGCCTATTACTGTCGTAAAAACCAAAATCATATGGGTTTAATCGTCTGGCTTTAGCCTAACCGCCATTACTTGGCTTCGCTTGGTGAGGATAAATAGTTTGGGCTAGTCTTATTAATGTATTACGGCTTAAGACACCAATTTCTTTGAGGGCTTCCTCTTCCCTATCTGCTATTAAACGTTGGATAGAGCTTTGACTACTTAAGGCTATAATGTTTGGAATTATTTATTTGATTAGAGAAGTGATGGGGGGACGATATAATGTATGTGTCCGATACCCACAGTCTGGCACGGTTTGGGGTGTTTCATCATCATTTATCTAATGAGCAAAATGAGAGTGGGTAACGTGCTTTTATACGTCTAGTCGACTCATGATTATGTGGTTCGCGTTAATTCTCATGTGATTAAGACTTCTGGGTTCAGTCGTGTTGGCCATAGCTCTAGCGTCTGGGCCTTTGTCTTGCTCCCTTTCTTCATTCTCAATATCCATTGCAACTGCACCGTTCAACTGACGCATAACTAAATATATCCCTTATTTTATTCAAGAATGATTGAGCCAACTGCGGAGACTTAGCGATTATCCTATGCTGCAAGTTAATCCTGATTAGAATTGCAGCTCTGAGATTGGTTTCTGTACATTTGACTGGCTTAATGAGGTTCTTCGCAAGACACCATCTATAATTACAGCCTACTGTAAATCTTAGGGGGCTGAATCGTCAGCTATTCATATCTAATTGTCGACAGAAGTCTCGAAGCCATTCAGCATCACTAGGAGTACATTAGCTAGACGGCGGTAGTGATAGGGTCTTTGGTTTGTCAGCACAAGCTTGCTGGAGTGTCTTACTCTCCTACCGAGTATAGCTAGTTTTTGAGACAATGTTGCTTCACAAGCCTGTATTTGAGTGGATATGAATGCTGCCTTAGAAAATCCGAAGCGAAAGGTCAGTTGAAGCTTGTTTGTAGTAGAAATGGTCTTAAGAACATCGTTGTCATTAGTTGAACCAGGGGAAACTGGGGTCCATGATTCTTTAAGCATATTTAATGATATGTGAAAGTAGGATCTAGTGTCGTCTACGCGGCCAAAGTGCGTCGGGTTGCCAGAGGCTCGTTAAATTAAAATACTTGAAATCAATCTGTCCTCGTTCTCGCAACTTGGTCGCATTCTCAGGGCGACTAAGTTGGACTCACCTTTTCCGAAGTCCTCTGCTTTAGCAGCTATGATGGTTCCCAATGTCGGGTAATGGTATTGACGGATTACGAGAGGCTTCTCGAGCATAGTCAGTGAGTTTTGCCATTATTAGCAAGTCTGGTGATGCATAATTATCCAAGGAAAAACTTTGACTGAGTCCGTAAACAACTCTGAGATAACGAGATGTACGTTTATAAACGTGAGTCAGGTTATGAAACCATCTGTCATGACCCAGTCTAGAGTCATTAAGGTCTAACAGCCCAATGAGAGGCATGTCTGTGCTTGCTTACTCCTACGTTTGACTTGGTTTAATTTAATCTACATGTTGCACTAGTGTGAGTTCGGTTGGCAGCATCACTGGGATGACGGGTTGGGTCACTTTTTGAATGGCGGCCCAACACCCTCCACCCTATTTCTTATCTTTCTACCATCATTCCTCACATTCAGCCTATTCCGTAATCTATTAATTTCAACTAGCCTCTTATCTTTATTTGCACAACAGATATACTATAATCAGTAAACCTCTATCTCGTCCAGTCTCCGGCCTGTGTTCGGCCACTTCTGGCCGTTGGACCCAACTACCTCTACAAACAATTTTGTTTTCACCTACTCTTCGGCGAATAAAACCTGTCTGATCAACATAAAGTCAGTCACGAGAGCATTCCACATTGTAGCAGACGGATCTCGATAATGGGTAATATCCTTCTGAAAGCTGGCAGAATCAAAGAAAGTGTGAGGGTTTCTTTGGACATTGTTTTTTACCCCCCACTTTCTCACTAGTTCACCTATCATCTCAGAGACAAGGCATAACGCCATAAGTAGGACATGATAAAAGGTCTCAGCTTGTCTATATTTGACCAAATAATCGTCTGAAAAGTTATTCCTTAGTAAAGAGATATTATTATAAATTGGGCCAAAATGCAAGTCATCTTCCAGGAATACATTTTTCAACTGTTCCAAATATACGAATGGTTACTAACCGCTAGTATCGTACTCCTAGTAGTCGTTGACTTCAAAATCCCAGTCTTAGCTTTGTAAGTGGTTGGAAAGAAAATTCAGGTATCAACATAGTTTGCTTTTCTATAAACATAATGTCCAAAAAGGCAGACCATATTCTCTTCTATTTTCATTTTCAACCTAATGCTTCTTTCACGCTAGTTAAGTGAAACCAGGAAACGATCTAAGCTTTATAGAAATGGGTTTTCTTTAAATCGGAAGGAGACTGCGACCATACCAGAGGCCACAACACCTTGGTCTTCATATCTTAGATCCAAGCTTTCCTTGCCATGTTGCCAGACGTAAAAATAGTAACCCTTATATTTAGCCAACAATTTGGGATTAGTATTGCCTCGTCCAAGACACGTTTATCAAATTTAGTCATTACTTGTATGAGATCTATTCACCCTATTTCGTTTAAGGTGATGAAGGACTTGTAGCAGAATTTTCCTACAATAAAGTGAGTAGAGCTGACGTTTCCGTTGAATTTCACAGAGCCTTGCTTTCCCAAAAGTCTCGACCAGAGTTGACTGCAGTTCCGACCTCGCCTCGTTTGGGTCTTATCAGCACCCCCAGCGGGAGTCGAACTGTGACAGTGCAACATGTAAGCTTGACACGTTAACCACCCAGCCACATTGTCACGGGGCAGATGTGACTTATATGGGAGGCCAGGCTTTCTGCCATATCACATTCGTGGGTTGGATTGTTGATGAAGCAAACGAATCTTTGTTATAACAATCGACTACATTACATCTCATATAACTGATTTACTGGTAATCTCGAAACTTATATACGAAAAATTAATCATTACTTATTCGCCAAGCAAGATCCTATTGCAAGTCCTTGTATCTGTTCATAAAGATTACCGTCAAAGGTAAAACTCATGGATGGGTTAAAAAGTCTAAGATTCGAGGCTATGTTCAACATTATTCCTTGTATGCTCTCTGGATGCTCCTCCAGAGTCTACACTAGAGTCTAAATTGCTTCTTAAGCAGGAATATTTGTGTACGTAGACACATTAAAACCTACTAGCTTATCTTCCTCTTGAATAATCAACCAAACTCGTATGAACTTTTAACTGATTATAGCCATAGTTGTCTGCTTAATTAACGTACATCAAACTTCGCTTATTCTAGAAGTGGCCTCCTTGTGCACCTCATGAAAGCCGTGAGTCGTGGGGGCTCTTTAATCTCTCTGGAGTAGCGAATTCATTTTTCATTTCTCCATTTCACTATTACTTAGGCATACCTTAAGGAAGGATGTTTATTTAACTGCGTCAAGCTGAAGGTCGTATTAAGGCGAAACGGGTGAAGAAAAATGGGAATCAGCCTTCTGGTTAAATTGACATTCGAAACTCTTCATGCATTCCTATGCGAAATGAAAGTCTCCCGACAATATT